GCACTTAGGGAGACTGAGGCTGGTGAATTACAAATCTAAGCCCTAACTGGACAATTTAGCAAGACCCTGTATCAAAAACTAAGTAAGCAACTAAGTAAAGAAGGGGCTGGAGATGAGCACAGTGCTAGTGTACCCCTGGATTCCATCACCCAGAACCTAAAAAAAAGTAAGTAAATAAATAAAAGATGCAACTGGAAACTTTCTGGAATGATGCTGGACTCAGGTATTGGAAATGCCAGTGGATACATTTGTCAAAATTTATTGAACCGTACCCTTCACATCTGTGTGTTTCACTCTATGTAAATTATAGCTCAGTTTAAAGAGAAAGGAATTTGCAGCAAGTCTTCTACATTTCCTGTATACAAGCACAGTAGTGCAAACCTTTTCTGTAAAGGGCCAGATAATAAACATTTTAGGCTTTGCAGTCTCTGCTACAACTGCTCAACTCTGCTATTATAGTGTGAAAGTAACTACAGACAATACAGAAACAAATAAGCATGGTTGTATTCTAAAAAAATCATTTACAAAAACTGTAATCCCAGAACTCAGGGAGACTGAGCAGATCACAAATTCAAGCGCCACCTGGCCAATTTAGTGAGACCTTGTCTCCAAAAGGGGGTAGGGGGTCTTGGTGGTATAGCAGCACAGAGGTTCAATCCCACAGAAAAAGAAAAACTGCTTACCAAAACAGGTTGCAAGCTGGATGCTGCCCAGGGGCTGTAGTTTGCTAAGTCCTGGCCTCAAGTAAACAGAAAACTAATCTTCTAAATTTACTTAAATATACTATGTCCTTTACTATATGGTGGCAGGCATGACAGTTATAGAAGCCATAGTCCTTCCTAAATATTATGTGAGTATTTCTATAATCAACCAGTCACTTAAAACAGGATAACCTAGGGGAAAAATAACAGTACGGGAGAGCAAAATAACCAGGAACTATCTGAATTTAAGATAAACCAGTAGTCACAAGTATAAACTGAAAATTAAAATCAAAATTTACTGGGCCGGTGCAATGGCGCACACCTGAAATCCCAGCACTCAGGAGGCTGAAGCAGGAGGATCGTTGCGAGTTCGAGGCCAGCCTGGGCTATACAAAGTGAGTTCAAGACCAACCTGAACTGCACCGTGGGACCCTGTCTCAAAAAGACAAAATAAGTAAATAAATAAATAAATAAATAAATAAAATATACTTTGGGGCCTGGGGCTATCTATGGCTCAGTGGTAAAGTGTCTGCTTAGCACAGTGTTGGCAAACCTGTTAGAGCTTTCAATGATAACAGCCACTGAGGCACCCATGCCATAGGTTCACCACCACTGGCCAGGCACTCCTGAGGCCCTGGATTCGTTCCGGAGCTCCATAATATTAATTAATTAATTAGTCTTGGCACAACAGAAAAAGCTGCTACACAAAATGCTGACACTCTTTTATCTAATATAACAACATTTTGGAAACATGCATAGTATCATTCAATCACCTGATTATTTCTTCATTTAAAAGAATTGAAAATTAAAGGTACAAATGAATTCTGTTTCCTAATAAGATTTCAAAATACATGGAGGTCTGCCTGGACTACATAGCTAATTTGAAGCCAGCCTGAGGCAGGAGAACTGCCATGAGTTCAAGGTTAGCCTGAACTACACAGTGAGACCCTGTCTTACCGCACCCCGCCTCACCACCCGCTCTCCACTCAAAAAAAAAAAAAAAAAAAAAGACCTGGTCTTAAAAAAGATAAAAAAGGGCTTCAAAATATAAAACAACATGAAAATATTTAATGATAACTACTAAAAAATGATTTTCCTAAGTTGGCCAAGGCTTCAAAGTTTATACCACAAGAACATCCAGGGTATACACCTAAATATAATACAGTATGGTCCTAAACTGAATGAAAACGGTTACCTGTCTTCAAGAAAATTCTAACCTAAAAAAAAAAATTATTTCTCACTGTGGTATATACAAAAAACAGAAGAAACACTAGCAAAATCAGAAGGCTTGGATTCAGGTATACATTTGCCATATCTAGCTATGTAACATTTGAAACTCATTCACCAGACACCTTTAAGAGATTATGTACCAGACGCTGGAAACACAATAGTGAAGAAAGTATCAAGCTGGACACTGATGGTACACACCTATAATTCCAGCACTTGGGAGGCTGAGCCCTCAGGTTTGAGGTCAGCCTCGACTACAAACCCTGTGAAACCCTGTCTCAAAAAACCAAAAATAAATTAGTAAATCCTTGCCTTTGGAATACCACAAATGCAACACCAGCCTGGACAATTTAGCAAGATCTTGTTTCAAAATAAGTTCTAAAAGGCAAGAGATATAGCTCGGTGGCAGAGTACCTGCCTAGCATGTGTGAAGCCCTGGATTCAATACCACTAAAAAAAAAAAAAAAATCTGCCGAACACATTCTGAATCACTTAATCTCTAAAAACAAGTCAATTTTCTTCCTTAGCTAAAATAGTGGATTTTACATTTTAAATCTCTATTACTTTTCTGAATCCAGGAAATAAATTTATAGAGTATAACCTGCAATCCATTCTTGCCATACAATGTATTATCACAGTAACTGAGCAAACAGAGGAAGTAACTACTAGTTTATCTTTCATACAATCTAGATGAAATATGAGCTTCACTGGCTTCTTATTTGGTAACTGAACTGCCTTGGATGGAATCCAATAAAGAACAATTCTATGAGAAATTCCTCATAATAAATAATTTCACAGCACATTTCCAGTATTTAAGGCCATAAAAACATAGATTGCCTACTGAATCAACTAATCAGCTTATCTTCTCCTCAGAACAGTTATAGTTTCAAAGTGCTTGGGGAAAACATGTAGTTGGAAAGCCAAATGTTGTATTCAAATATGGTTCCTGTTCCTAACACTTAAATTTTCTTTTACTTTATTATGGATGTATTTTCCCTATAAAAAAACAAGATCAACAGGTTTCTTTCAGCATAATTGCCTAACTCTTAAATGGTAATCTTTTAAAATTTCTCACATATTTGTTTTTGCAAAATAAAACTAAGATCAAAACAGTACTGAATACCTTTTCTCATAGGCACCTAGTTACCAAAAGTAATCACAGGAATAGTTGAGCCTGTAGTTTCTAATCTCTAATGCCATTTCCAAAATGAAAAATTTAACGTATCTATCAAAAAGAAATGTGTATTCCACTAAAAGGGGCTGCTCCATTTATTTCCAATTCATAAATACATTCAAAGTTTGCCCAGGCAGGTCACCTCCACAATAGCTCCCACTTATAGTAGTCTTGGGCATCCGATTCTAGTCTCAAATGCTACCTGTTGTATGCTTATTTTTAGGGTATCTTAAGAATATAACCACCACCATGCAATCAATAAATTCAAATGAAGCAGAAGCATGGAAACAGCTAGCAAGGTGCTGTACAGAGATGCTCAGTGGTAGGACATACACTTGCTTCTCCAGCACATGAACTAAAAAGTGGCAGAACAACTTTAGGTGAATCTATAATATTTTAAATACATACAACACAAAAGTGATGCATTCCTCTCCACTTTGTACAGTATCCCAAACTATTAAGTGTCCTCTTGAACAAGATTTAATTCAACTACTAAATACCCAACTACTAAAGGAAACATCGAGCACCCAGTTATATATTAAAAGCCTCATACTGATAAACACTGTTTACTTAATTCATATTTTTCAATTCATTAAATGAGAAGACCCTGATAAAATAAAATGGTTTATAGCTTAGACAAATCATCACTGTAAAATATAAATTATCCAGCTCTCCATCTGTTCAGTGTTTGGACACAGCCATCGTTGCGAGCAACTAGGTATAATGAAGGAAAAAAAAAATCAGATTTGGGAACTAGGAAGACACGAATTTGAACATTCGTGTACCACATCTTGGACACCAACTTTCCTAAGCCACTTTTTTATCTCTAAAAAGGGGATTCTTAATTACCTACTTTGAGGGATTGTTATAACTAATAAAGATACATGTAAAACATCTGTCACAAGCCAGGCATGGGGGCACACACCTGTAATTCCAGCACTCAGAGGCTGAGCCAGGAGGACTGCTTGAAGTTCAAGGCCGGCCTGAACTACATAGTAAATTCAAGGCCAGTCTGAACTATGTAAGAAGATCCTGTCTTGGGCTGGGGATTTAGCTCAGCGGCACAGCGCCTGCCTGGCAAGCGCAACGTTGTGAGTTCGATTCCTGGTACCGGAATAAAAAACAAAAAAACAAAAGAAGATCCTGTCCCAAATAAATAGCAAGCACTGAGAAAATATCAGTTATTATTATTTTATTATTCATAAGTATATAGATTAAAGGATATAAAAAGAACATGATACAAAGACAAATCACAATTTAGGTTACATTTAACTGTTAGAACACTCTGACAATTCAAGTCAAACTTTGGCCTCAATTTTTCATATATGAAGAAATATACAGATAGACAGACACAGATATATAATGCCAGGCAGAGTGTCATTTGCCGGTAATCCCACCACTCTGGGAGACTGAGGCAGAACTGCAAATTTGAAGGCAGCCTGGGCAATTTACCAACTTGGTGAGAACCTATTCTCAAAAGAAAAAAAGTATTTTTAAGGGGTAGGGATGTAGCTCAGTGTGAGGCCCCTGGGTTTCATCCCCAGTACTGCAAAAAACAAACAAACCAACAAGAAAGGACATGACACAAAGTTAAATCATAGCCTAGGTTATACTTATCTCTTAAAAAAAAAGGAGAGACACCCTGATAGTTGAAGTCAAACTTCAAAGCTCAATTTGTTATTCACAATTTGTGTGTAAGAGATAATACTACAGCTCCTCTTTTAAATACGTAAAATTCAAAATTAGCTATCTATTTATATGAGAGCTTAGTAAAAATGAAAAATTACTACATACAGTGTAACAAATCATATTATGAACAGGTGAGATGTCTTCACCACTGAAAAATGTCAAAATTAAGATACAAAAATGATTATGGAAGGATAGTAAAAGATTCCTACCTTTAAACCGACTGCTATAAGATCTGTAACAACACTGTATGGAAGAAGTAAAAAGAGAAATGGAAAACAAAGTTAGAGAACAAGTTTTAAAAGACAGAGATAAATTAAAGAAAAAACAGAAAAGCATTATAACAACAAATAATGAAAACAAAAGTGTAGTGAGCTGTGAAATGTTAATACAAAGAAAAATGATGGAACAGTGTAGCAACAGCAGTATAAAAGCAAAGCCTCAACAGCAATGTGAGAAACAATAAATTATCTTTCAATTTTTAGATAAGTATAGTTGTGCTTCAATAAAAGTATTTTGTTCATTTATCTCTATTTAGCAATACAAACCAAATCACCAAACTTCATTCTTTTTTATTGGTATATATTTGCATTACACAACAAATACTTTCATCTTGGGGGAAATGGTACATATATAGATTGCATCTTAATACTTTCTACTTTCCCTTCCTCTCCTCTCCCTCCCCAAAATTTGATCTTTCAAATCACTGATTTGAATGATCACATCTAAAATTCTAAATGCAACAAAACCAGTGCTTAGGTTTTATAGAAATACAAAGCATTTGCAAATCTGCATTTACCATCCCAAACTGCTCACCAAATGAAGTTAAAATGAAGATTTCCCCCCAGAACTAAAAGTCAAATTTTAGACAGCAAATTTTTCAAAAAGATTTGCTTAAACAACATTCTACCATGCCGAAACTGTTCGGTTTAAGTAGAAAAAAGTATTCTTAGGGAAAAAATGAACACAGTCGCACCATCAAAAAACAGTTGGGATTTTAACTATACTGGTATGTTGACCTGTGGCTTGTTTTTCTAATTTTCAAATTAAAGGAAAAGGTCCTTCCTTAGGCTGCCCCCGGTGCCAAAAACAATTTTTACATCCTAGACCAGGCATGGTGGCACATGCCTGTCATCCCAGCAATCTAGGAGGCTGAAGCAGGAGAACTTAAGTTTGAGCCTCACTTGGGCAATTTAGCAATCTAAAGAGACCTTAAGTCTGAATTTTAAAAATTTTAAAAAGGCTAAGGATGTAGATCAGTGTTCAGGGTTCAATGTCCAGTACCGAAACAAACAAAAGTTTTTCACCATATATTTGAAAATTACAAAAACTCTACACATTTATAATTTGTCTTTATTATTTCATAAAAGTCAAATGTATGACTCTGGATTGTTAAGTGATACAAATTTAACTGTTTATTTTCTTTTGTAGCATTGTGAAACCTGAAATTCATGTTTCTAAAATTTAAGCATGATTTTAGAAAACTTTTCTAAGTAAAAAAAAAAAAAAAAGTATGCAATAGTACCATTATTGGTCATGATAAAAAAAAACCAAGTCACGCTCCCACTTGAACTCCCAAACAAACTTACCTTCCAGTACCTATACCGCTGAGCTCCATATTTAAACCAGTAATCTCATTCTTAACCTTAAAAGCCACAAATAACGCAAAGGGAAAAGTTAACTTTCTAAACACTACTGAAAACATCAAGTTCACACTTCACAGATGTCCAAGTCACAAAACTCTTGATTATAAGCACCAATTTCGATACCAAAAAACTAGCCTGCTTCCATATCTCAAGTCAAATTTCCTAAAGACGAATCACTACACACACTGAAATATCGTACTAATTTCACAGACTGCCTGAACTGAAATACTGGCCTAACATAAATCATTAAAACACCAAAACTGTGCACACATACAAAATGTAACTTAATAAGGTAATGTGAAGTAAGTAAGTCTTCAACAATGCTCCAGAGAGGCCGGGATACAGCTCAGCAGCTCACTGGCACAGCGCCTGCCAGGCAAGCGCTAAGTCCTGAGTTCGATTCTCAGTACGAAAAAAAAAAAAAAAAAAAAAAATGCTCCCAGAGAAGCTTCCACAAAATAGCTTCATAAAAAACACTTTAAGGATCACAACGATGAATAAAATCTAAAACTGCCCTTTGATGTCTGTAACTGTGTAATCTGCAGTCAAATGAGTTAATTCATTTATCATACTTAATATTGTGAAACGAAGATTAATGAAGGCAAAAATTGTTGGAAGATAGTGTCTTCACATACCACGTAACAATCATCCATTCTGTGGCAACACGTTAACTGGCTTTTACTTTTCAACCAACTTCTATGTATTCCACAAACGAGGTTTACAGAATCTTGTCATCAAAAGTACTAGTAGGACAAATAAAACCTCAAAGGCATAGTGGGAATAAATACACGGATTTGTCATAGCTAACAACTGGAGACTTTTAAAAACCTTGATGTGCACATGACCGTCTGTTAATTCACCAAGCCCGTTCCATGACTGCTTTAATCATTAAAATATATCAAGTGCCATCTCATAAATGAATTCATCATTAAAATACATCTAGTCCCACCTTCCGAGATCCCGGAGCAATGTTTCCACGCTAGAGATAATTCTACATCTTTTTATTTTGGTCACAGGCCCCCGTTGCATTGCTGAGCATCTGAAACCTCCCGGGAAATTGCACTTACACTGTATTTTGCATGCACGGCAGAGAATTCACCAAGTTTCTCGGGGGTGGGAGTGGGGGGGGAAGGAAGGGCTCACGGTCAGTAAGTCCAGACGCCCGGCGCGAAGCGCTAACACATCTCAGCCCAAGTCCGGAGACCTCGACGGTCCCCCGGGGCCGCGGTTCGGGACCCGGTGCCGCCCAGACGTGCAGCGCCGCGCGCACTGGGCGTCCCCACTCGGCGGCCGCCCGCCCGGCTCGGG